GAAAACACTTTTCTAAGTGTCTGTGTGTGTGTATGTATGTATGTCTGTATGTATGTATGTCTGTCTGTCCGTCCGTCTGTCTGTCTGTCTGTGTCTGTCTGTGTCTGTCAGCGAACAGCTGGTCATTCCGGCCTCCGCAGGAGGCGCCGGTATGACCTCGCCCTCAACGGCCAACAGCCGCGACCCAACGCGCAACCCCAGGTGCTCTGCCTGCCCCTCAGAGTAGCACAGGTCGTAACAGGCACTGCGTGTACATCCTTAAGCTCATCACAACATCGGAATGAATGCCTCTGCGGTCACTGCCACCACCCGAGGACCTTCCAACTCGAAGCCCAACGGTCCATCCTCTCAGCTCAGGCTAACTGGAGATCCGACTTGCAACGAGTCTTCCATCCTGCATTCCACATGTAATTGCCTGGAAGAGAAGATCGACCGTGCTTGGCTTGGTCTCCGAGGGCAGCTGAAGGAAGCGTTCCTTGGAGAAGTCCGGTGCTGGGTGGAGTCCGGTGTTGGAAAGGAGCGATGGCTCGTAGAGTCGTAGAGGAATCGCTTCTAGCTATCACAGATGGAAAATAAACGAGTCGATATCTTGGGAAGGGACAGGCGCTGAGTCCTTGCAGTGCCTTCCTCCATGTGGCAGTGTTCAAAGCAGTGCCGAGGCCTGGGGGTTCGTAGCACGAGGCCGGAAGTCTCAACTGAATGCAGTACTATGGGGATCTCCATGACTCGTTGGTTAATTGATGTAGCAAACAGTGGTGTTCCGAGACTGCTTTCCACCGGGCGTGCCCGTCAGGTTTGTGATCTGGATGGCGAGTTACACTCCACAGTCTGCAGACCACATGACAACACATCACGGGGGCCTTTCCGCAATGGTGATTGTCACGATGATGTTATGATGGTGACGATGATATTGACGATGATGGTGACGATGATGGTGATGACGTTGATGCTGCTGATGATGATGATGATGATGCTGATGATGATAATGATGATGAAGGAGAAAATGCTGATGATGATGATGATGATGCTGATGATGATGATGGTGAAGATGATGATGCTGATGATGATGATGATGGTGATGATGGTGATGAAGATGATGATGATGATGATGAAGAAGAAGATGCTGATGATGATGCTGATGATGATATTGCTGATGATGATGGTGATATAGCTCATGATGATGACGATGATGATGATGATGCTGATGATGATGACGATGATATAGCTCATGATGATGACGAAGATGATGATGATGATGATGATGATGATGATGACGATGACAGGATGATGGTTGGGGGCGACGACGACCACCAGCCCCAAGTATCCGTATAGTCGAGTCTGAGCAGAGTGCCGGTTAACCGTCTCAGTCTGCAAGACCCCACAAAACCGCAAAGCACCAGCAGCACAACTGCATCCAGGGCACGGCCCCCTGAGCGAGCCCCGAAGCCTCAGAGCCCAGGCCGGCTCTGTGTTGCAAAGACGACTCGTTGGACAAAACTCGGGCTCCAGCAGCTGCCTGTGCCTCCTCACGGAGTTTCGCTGCCTCCTTAGCCGCCTTCTCAGCAGCCTGGCGACATCTGGCGATCCGTCCCTAACGCTAAACCCAGTTCCGGCGTACCTCTTTTGCAGCTTCTTGAGCTGCTTGTGCCATCGAGGCGGCGCGAGAGAGCCATGACGATGCCATGCTGAAGACACAGGAGGTGGAAGTGCGTCGAAAGATGGACTTGCAGGCTTATGCAGCTTCAGCCCATCCATCACTGAAGAGAACTTGCCTTGTGGTCAACGATAAGCTTCAGGCTCCCAATGGCGACAGCGACAACGGGGCTCGAAAGAAGACAAGACAGCTGAGGCTTTTGCTAAAGCGCAGCTCTTGATGGCTAAGCGGTTTGATGAGACTCTTTTCTAAACGTCATGCTGCTGTGTGTTCAGCAGAACAGGGCAACTTTGTACAGAGGGTAGCAGAGGAGCGAAGGCCACTGCCGTCGGGAACAACCAGTGCTGAGAACATCTCAGCGGCTAAACCACTCGATGTTTTCCAAACAACCACACATCACGAATCAACATGCGCCAGTTGCCAGCGCTGCTCGACTACATACACCACATTGGAGGCATGAAAGCCTGGTCTAGAACATGGCGACATTCTGGTCACTTTTGGTATTGCGCCATGAAGGTGAGATGACAGCCATGTGAGCCATATGCAATATGTCCCGGGGGCAGCATGATCACGGTCAACATCCAAGCTCTCCCCTAACATGGCCCTGTACCAAAGGTGGCTTGGCATCCCCGTCAATCAACGCATACGGCATCTGACTTCACTGACTTCTTGCAGAAACGCATGGCGGCTCTGAAGAACCACAGGAGTACAGCAGAGGCCATGGCAAATTAAAACGTGACACAGCAACTCAGCTCCTCAAATCTCCATTGACACTATCCCCGCACAGCACTGGCCGGACTGCTTCACCGGAGAGCTGTGCCACGAAATTTTGCAGGCGCATTTCAGGTCTGCACTTTGCTGTCCGTCGCTGTACAGATGTCAACAGTCCGTGCAATCTGGCGGGCCCAGGCAAAGCTCAGATCATTCCCAGAGGCCCTTCTACCCTGATGGACTCAGCCACATCTTTCGACGAGGGCTTGCTGGAGTTGTCAGGCTGCAAAGGCCCAACGACGTCCCCTGGACTGGGGAGACATTCCTTGCATTCCGAGCATTCCTGGATGTGGCCTTTGAGTTCGGCACCATCTGCTGCCTCAGGGCAACAGTCTGGATACTCAGCATGCGCCCTGACCGAACCGAGGTGTCACAGAAGACGGCTCGTTCCTCTCCGAGAACTTGTAGCTCACCGGCCGTGCTCGGGATATGCACGTCACCGCTTATACTGTATACTATCCCCTGTGCAACCCCCCACAACATCTGCAGCGCGATGCAGCAGCACAGTTCCAACAACGATGAAGCGTGAGAAGTGAAGCGAAAGATGGCTCGACGCTAAACTCTACAAGCCCAGAATCCCAGTCCTTCTGACAAGCCGACAGACCACCTGCTGCAAGTCACCTGCTCTGCTCGGCGGTGACGGTTGCTGACCCACTCGTAGCCTCTGCGAACGCCTCGTTCTGGAAAGTGACAGGCTCAACAATGCAATCATCGAAGTGAAGCAGTGAAGCTCTGCAATGCAGGGCAGGGAGGCGGCCTGTGGAGGCAGCTGCACCGACAGCACAGCCGCACAGGATGTGCCCTGTCAGCACTGCCACTCCTTCCAAGCAGACTCTACCCATCTGTAATCATCCTAACCTCGATCACAAGACGCAACTCCAAGCAAGTGGCTCTCACGGTTTTGTCACCTCTTCCCCCGTCCTACACCAAGTGCCATTGTGCCGGCCGCACCTCCTAGCAAGACAAGGCAGAACCTCACTCCGAACTTTGGCTTAGCAAGCATGACGGGTGTGGATGGAAAAGCAGCCAATTTAGTTCATGCCAAAGGATGCCACTAAGCCCCTTCCCAAGCTCGCCTGCCACTCCTCCTGTCGCAAGACCTGATGATTAACCGCAAAAGGCAGCACTTTATGAATTTCTCGCAGCTCTCACGCGCGCGAAAGCCTCTTCTATCTGACCATTACACGGTCCCGATTCACGTCGAACATCAATCCAAGACACTGCTACCCAAAGTAGACGCAGTCTTGGCACCTGGAAGCGGCTGCATCGCTTTGCAGCACGAACAAGCAAACCCTCCTGAAACAAGTTGAAGCTGAGCCTGCTGCAAAACAAACCTTTCAACACACCATTGGTGATGCTGATCTTGGCGGATCCAAGATGATCCAGGTCAAGCTGGCACTGGGTCACTGCTAGCATTGCCTCCTGAGATGCCCTGATCAGTAGCAAGAGCTGCAATCCCACGCCAGGCTCCCACGCAGCCTGCGCGCTCTTCTCAATGACCTCTGCACATCAGTATACGCAGAGTGCAAAGACGGCAAGTCAAGTCTGAAGGCCTCTGCGAGACGCTGGTCATCGGGGCTCGGAGCATCCTTGATGCCCGGCAAGCGTTTGAGAACGTCGACCGCGAAATGCTGGCCTCAAGAACGTCGAAAATGTTGCACGCAGAAAACAGCCGAAGGTGTGCTATCCAAGACCCAAACAGTTGCAGCCCACCAGGCCGTACATTCTATAAGATCTCATCACCTCCATTGCCTCCAAAGCTGAACAAGACTTGGCAGACGCTCGAGCTAGAAATTGACCGCTGGCATCCTCGCTGTCAGCGAGCCTGCTCTGTGATGTACTCCAGCTTGCACGGCCCTGCTGTACCGAAGTTCGCAACATTCTCCTTGCTTTCGTCGAAACCTGACCATTCAACTTATCTCAGAACGAGATCTCGGCATGCGCCATCAAGCATGCATGCAACAGCTGTTGCCGTCAGAACCTCGAGTGGCTCGAACGGTTGACTTTTAGTGTATGACGGCGCACACCACAGAAACTGCTGCGGCCTGGGAAGATCGAGAGGTACGGAAAGAACTCCTCCGTCAAAGATAAATCTGGCATAAGGCTTGCACGTGGCCTGCCAGCTCTTAGCACACAAGCTGCTGCAGCAGAAGATCAAAACAGTGGACAAAGTACCAACCCACCACTCCTTGCCACAGGACCTGCAAATCAAAACCCGGGAATGGTCCTCACATGGCCACTCAGCTACTAAGAGCTCAATGACCACATAGGCTTGGTTGACCTTAGGCCCGTAACGAAAGACAAAATTTCTAGAAGCTGACCGCCCAAACTCCCATTAAACACCCATCGCTCAGGCTGGCGCAGGTATCTGGACCACACAGCCCTGCCAATGCAGCCGCAACGACCAGACGAAGCTTTGAGCTTGTGAGCATACTTCCGACTGGAACCTGTCCGTCGCCCCGGCGAAGATAATCCGAATCTACGCGAAGTTCATGGTGCACATCGGGCTTCGAACCTGGCGCATGCAGTCAAGATACGTCAAAGCCAGGCCAATGATGCCGTAATGGTACTCTGAAAGTGTATTCAAACGCACCGACAGGGCGGCTGACATCGACACTTTCCTGCTGGTTTAGTTAGCCTCTGCTTCATGAACGTTTCGTGGCTTTCAGCGACTCTTCGGCATCGCCCTATATACGTTACTACATTTAGAGAACTCAGATGGACATGAGGACAATCTTGTGTGCGGTATCACCCTGGTTGGCAGCCCGCTGCTCTTGCTCAGTCTGAGTCTTTTCTCATGCTGGACAAAACGCTTCCTTCCATTCCTGCAAATTCTGAAAGATCTCCGAATCTATCTTTTTCAACCCCATCCCTATCTCTCTGACACTCTGCTGGCACAACAAAGTGCAACCAAGACAAATGTCACTACACCCGAGCGCCGTGCTGAATGGAATTGCGGAACTGTCGCTTCAAAAAACACACGCTGGGACTGGAAAAAGGCAGATCGTCCGCCTGCTTCAGATGCTTCGTCCAACCGAGGATGAAAAACGAGGGCCCAGTGCCGCTTAATCATCCACCTCGACAAAAGGCATGCACAACCCAGTCACGTGCTCAGCACTTGTGCCTCAAGTATGCTTGCTTACATAGACCACGCTTGGCGTCTGAGTGCTCGCCAATGCCCAATGATTGTCAACGCGGGGCTGAAAGATTGCTTTAAGGCATGCCAAGGAACAAGTATACATCCCAGTGCAAGTCTTCTTCGAGATCCTGCAGGACGGTGTGTGTAGAATCTCTACGCAATGGGCACACAGGAGGCTTCAAACCTGAGCATCGCATACGTTGATCAGCCAGACGCATCCTTTTTGTTCAGGAGCTGAAAGAGCTGCGCCCGTTCTTGAAACTCTGCCATGGCATTCGCACGAAGATTGCCATAGCCTTGCATGAACCCGATGTAGCAGTCCAAAGCAGGTCACGACACATTGGCGAAGACATGTCACTGGTAAATTCAACAGGCGCGAATCCAGTCAGACCATGTCCAGCAACAGTACCACTGTCACCGCTTCCACAAGTTCCTCCCGGCCCGGTGAACCTAGCCTAGATGAACTTGTGCAGCAAAGCCACTTGCTGCTTGTAGAACTTGCACGGTAGAAGTGGCGGTCACATCAAACCTCCATGAAACCGAGACTGACGGATTTGGGGCTTAGAGTTTGAAGGGCTCAGGGTTTCGACAAGGTCTTCTGGATTATGGGGGCAGATGGGAGGTTTACGTGAGTCGAGGCTGCAAAAGTAGTCGTTAATCCTCATATGATTGAAGCCCAAGACGTCAACCGCGAGCCCAAGCACACAAACTCTTGAAATATGAGTCCCTATGGTGCCTGTTAGGTTACGACAGAACCTGATGAGCCCAGACCAGAAGACCGGCAAATCTTGAGGATTGTGAGTTTGGCGATTATAAAATAGAGCCCGAAACCCACACTTGAACGAGAGCCCAGTTTGTGAACGATTCCGATGTAACGGATTTCAAACGACTGCGCTTGTTCTTGATGCCTATGGTTCACACCATCTCCACCACCGGAGCTTGGCCAGAGAACGTCCATTGGCGGCTGCCCGGGCAAGTTCACTACAAAATTCTAGACTCTAAACATCCCTGTTTGCACGGCTGCTGTTTGTAAAGCGCACTGAACGGGCCAACTGTCGTGTGGACATGCTGTGACAAGGCTCAACAATCACAAGCCACCAGCCAAAAAGTCACGAAAGCACCGTGCATGAACTGAACGGGATGCAGTGCGAAAACGAGCAACGAAAGCTGTGATCAAATAAATTTTCTTGTGCCGCATGCAGCTTCGTGAACAATGACGATTTAATTGCTCGGTTTTGATCCACCTTGGACCTCTCAGTTCCGCACATTTTTGTTGTGATTTAATTGGCCCCTGAACGTCGCACACGCTTTGTTAACTAAGTCACAATTTCAATTTTTCCAACATTACCACATCAAAAATTTAATGGTTCTAGATCAATGACTTGAAACAACTGATTGGAGCTGAATTGATGTTGAGCAATAAGCAAAAACGCAACAACTCAATCATTCACGCATTGCCTCCTAAGACCCTTGTTTCAAGCTTAATTTCAAGGTGAAATGCACTGTCCACATGCTTGCAATCACCTGAATGTGGCGTTCGACATGCAAAGTTCGGTTAGATGCAGAGTTCGCGCCCAAGATGCATGGCACAAAAACAATTTGCGTCTCCAAAACCGACCTGTGCCAGTTGAGCCAGGTCGCATAGAGTCGTGTGAAGGGACTAAATGTCCCGCTTCCCAGATTGAGGGTGCGCAATGGCAAAGCACATCGCGTCCATGGGTCGCGCAATGAAAGCATTTTGCCTTGTAGTTCGTCACAAGCATTTGCCAGCACCTGGTCCAAACCTCGCAACTATTCCCTTTTCCAGCACTTCGTGAGGAGTCTTGCCGCAGTGGCCCTCAAACTGATCCGGACTTGGACGTTGGGAGGCTTGAAGGGGGAACTTAGAAGGGGAAGCTTGAAGAGGGTCTTGAAGGATCTTAAAGGGGAGCTTTAAGGGGACTTGAAGGGAGACTAAAGGGAGGCTGGAGGCTGGGCTGAACGGAAGGAAGCTTAAGGGAGACTTGAAAGGGAACTTCAAGAGGGCTAAATTCAAACAAGAAGCACCAAACAAAAGAAAAAAACGCCATACGAAATCGCTTTGCAAGGGTTTTCACACGACGTCGCGTTAATAGAAGGTTCTGTGACGGAAAGAAAATGAAAGCAAACTAAAATGAAAAAAGAACAAACTCAACAAATGCAATCACTGCAAGAAGAAGCTGCACGAAAAGAAACTAAAATGAAAAAACAACAAGCTCAAACAAAAGACAGTCATCCAGAAGAAGAAGCCACACGAAATCGCTTTGTGAGAGGTTTTGCAAGAAAGGGAAGGAAGTCTTCAAGGGAGCTTAAGGAAGAGCTTAAGCGAAGGCATGGGCCCATAAGAGAGTGGCTTCTTAAGTGGCAAATCAGTGTAGAGCATGTTTGTCTTTGAGAGTGCGGCACACGGAGTGGCAGCTGGTATGTCCGTCTTTTCTGAAAGTGTGGCATCTAGAGTGGTCGTACTTGCCTCTCCAGGTGTCACGCCCGCCTTCTCTTGCTCGAGCAAAAGCACTGCAATCT